CCCTCGGCTCCCTCACGCGGCACCCCCTCGGCAAACACGCGCTCGGTGGGGAGGCTGGGCGGAGGCAGCCTCGGTTCACCGCCCTGGGGAGGACCCTCCACAGCTGGTTTGGAAAAGGGAGGCGGGCTTTCCTCCTCTGTAGCATCCCGACGGCCCGTGGACGGCCGCCTCTGGGAAGGCCGAGGGCCCTGCAGCGTCCGCGGGCTCCTGGCTGCGCGCTGGCCAACGCGTGCCTCGCGGGCGGACCTGGCTCTGGGCAGGGCCTGTCGTGGAGTCCCCCTCTGTCCTCGGTGCCCCTCTTTCTCCTTTTTCCATGTTTGGGGAACACCTCCAGGGGCCTCCTCCTCAGCCCCTTCCCCTCTCTTCTGCTGTCCCTCCCCCTCCCCCTTTCCTCGGTCTCCACTGCTCTGTGTGCCTACGGAGCACTCTCTTTACTGTTTGTTGAATAAAATATTTCCCTTGTTCCTGCTTTAAAAAGTGGTCACACATGTTGAGGAACATGGCGGGCGCCCACGTCGGAGGGCCTGGCCACGGCCACACGCTGAGCGACACTCGAAGCCCCTCTTCCGGGATTTAACCTGATGAGTAAACCGAGTGAGTGGAGGTTGTATCTGCAAAGTGGTTCCCTCGTGCTTAACGTGAGAAACGGGAAATGACCTTAACACTCATCCATAGACATCAGAACAGTGATGCCTCAGTGCACACCATGCGGCCATTGAAATGAACCTAAAGTCACGGAAACGCCGGCTGCGCGGCCAGGCGAGGAAGCAGGAGGCAATGTCATAGAATATGCGCTTTCTACTTTGAAAAGGCGTATTTCCCGCTCATCATGTTCGCATCTCAGTTGTGTATGTGGCTAAGGGAGTCTGGGAGGGTGGGATGTGTATCACAATGTTAAGCACGATCACCTCATGATGGTTTCACTTTTCTCTCCTGCTTGTCTGCATTTTCTGACTTATTGGGTAATGTACACTTTAAGAGTTTAATGAAAAAAAATCAGTGAAACTACATTCACTTTGGAAAAAAGGGGTGAGGGGAAATTTCCCAATTCTGTACCATCCCCCTAACTTCCCGTCCTAAGTTACGAAGCCACTACTTACTCATGGTCCCTTAGGTTCCGTGGCCTTTGGCCCCTCCCTCTCCCCCGAGCCCTGAAAAGCCCACGCCTCTTGCAAACCCATCCACTCAGGCCGAGGAGCAACATCCACGCCCAAGAGGAGCTCTGCCCCCCAAATGCCTGTCCGAGGAACGCGAGTGCCTGGCACGGCCCAGCAGCCAGGCTTCCTGCTGCAGGACTCGCCAGGGCCTTTCACTGCCCCCACGAGCAGGACAGAGCAGTAGCATTTCCCAAACCAGAGGCACCCAGGACCCTGCCACCACCCACCTCAGGCCGCCTTCGAGGGCAGCATGAGATGGCGTCATCTGCAATGCCCTTCTCTGAACGTGGGTGGCTTCTGCATGGGAGCCCCTGGGTGGGCGGGCCTCCCTCCCTGTGTCAGGCTATCGGCCATGTGCCAGGGAGGGTGGGGTGGAAGGATTAATGCAGGCCCCAAGCACCCAGGACCCAGGGAGCCGGAAAGACTGGGCCAGGGCAGAGCCGGGCGGGGCCCTTCTGTGCCCGAAGGTCGGACCCTGACAGGCTGCGGTCGAGACCAGTGGGATGAGCCATCCAGACCCACGATGCCAACTCAAAAGGAGGCGGCGCGTGGGCCGGGCCTGTGACCAGCGCTGACGGAAAGGGCCTGGGTAGACCTGAGGCCCCAGAGCTGTGCTCACTGGCAAGTTCAAGTTCCTGTGCCCAGAGGGTGGGCCTCCACCAGCCCCACCCCCAAGGGAGAGTCAGGCCCGCAGGCTGACCTGGGCGAGGGCGGCGGCGACGAGGCCAGCCCACTGCTCCGGGGTCTTGGTCCGGTACAGCTTGGGGGGCACGCAGCTGGGCAGCAGTGCCTGCACGGCCTCCCTCCCCACGGAGGTGCCGAGCTGCACGTAGCAGTGCCGGGCCAGCAGCTCCACCAGCTCTTCCTCCTGCAGCCGGACAGACATGCGGTGAGGGGCAAGCTGTAACCCCAACCCCAGCAGCGACGGCTGCACTCAGGCCGACCAGGAGCAGGAGCAGCTGCCAGGCCTGACCCTCCTCTGGACAGCACTTGCTCTTCCCCACCCAGCGGTGCACCCACCCTGTGCCCCTGGGGGCCAGGGGGCTCCTCTCCAGCCCTCAGGGAGCCCCGAGGGTGGAGGCCTGGGCGGAACCCTGACATCACTGGGGGGGTGCATGTGGGCCAGGCCTGTACCCTGTCTCACCCAGGCCTCCCGGGTCACAGGTGGTCAGGGCCACCCTGAGGGGCTTCTGCGAGCACTTGGGGGGGGGGGTCTGAGGCCCAGGCTCAGTCCTGGCTCCAGTGCCTGTGGGGGCCAGTCCCCCTGCTCTCCTGCAGCTGCTGCCCTCAGGGCCCGGCCAGCCCTGGCTCCTTGCCCACTGCCCCATCCTCCCGGCTGGAGGGGTGACCACATAGGGGCTCGAGCCCTCCGCCCTCCGGCCCACCCTCCTTCCCTCGATGCTCCAGGCCTACGAAGCTCGGGCGCCTCTGCTCTCCTGGACAAGGGCCTGAGAGCCCAGGCCACCCTGCTCAAGAAGGCAGGGGGCGCTCAACCAGGGTGGAGACCAAGCCATGACCTCAAAGCCGGCCCTGCCACCCCACCAACAGGTGCCCTGAGCGAGGCCTGGGCTGATGGGGGCTTCCCTGCCAGCTGCTGGAAGGAGGCGCCAGCACACCCTGGTGCGAGCGAAGAGGACATGGAGGCTGGCGGGAGCGCCCTGAAGCCAGGCCGCCAGTAGCCCCGGGGACTGCCAGCCCCAGGCCTGGGGAGGCCCCTCACCCTCTCAAAGCTGTACTCGCCGGACCAGACGCCGTGGAGGACTTGGCGGTAGATGAGCTCGGTGCTGACGGCATCCTCCTGGGGGTCGTGCCAGGGGCTGAAGAACTCCTTCCGGAAGTAGAGGCGCCAGGGCGACTGGCGCTCGCTCTCGCCCCTCTCCCGTGCCAGCTGCTCGCACTGGCCAATGGCATCCATCACATGGTCGCGCCCACTGCCCAGGGACCAGAACTGAGGCCAGACGGGCATGGGGTCAGGGCGCTGTGCACAGGCACCAGGGGATGCCTGCTCTCAGCCACCCACTGTGGGCTCCAGGGGACCCTGGGGACCCTCTGCACAGGGACCTGGCTCGCCTGTCACTCCCTTCCTCCTCCCACTGGCCCCCAGGGGAGGCAGGGCTGGTGCCGCCGCTGCCATGACAAGGGTGGTGCCCTGAACTCACTGGTTGGCATGAGGGAGGCCAAGACTGGGCATTTGGGTGGTTGAGGATGTGGGTCCGGTGGAGCTGGCCGTGAGGCCCTCGCATCTGCTGCATGGGCGTTGTCCCCACAGTGAGGGTGGGTGGGACGTATGGGTGCCTGGGGTTGGCTATGTGGGGGCCGCTCAGGTGAGGGGCTGGCAAGACGTGCGGGGGGCACTGGGCCGAGGGCTGCCATGGGCATGTGTGTGAGTGTGCATTCATGTGTGTTAGTGTGTGTGTATGCATGTGTGTGAGAGTGTGCATGTGTGTGTTGAGTGAGTGTGCATGATAGAGTGGGTGTATGTGTATATCTGTGAGTGGATATGTGTAAGTGTATGAAAGAATGTGTGCATGTGAGAGTTTCTCTTTGTGTGAGTGTGTATGTGTGTATGTGTGAGTATATAAGTGTATGTGTGTGAGTGTGTGCATATAAGAGTGTATGTGCATTTGGGTGTGAGTATGTGTATAAGAATGAGTGTGTGCGTGTGTATGTGTGTGTGTGCATGTGTGACTGACTACATATCTGCGAATGTGTGAGTGAGTGTGTAAGTGTGTGCACCTCTGTCTTGGCCACGGGGAGGAAGAGCAGTGGCTGGGCGTGTGGCTCATGGGCTGAGCTGGCCTGGGAGCCGGGTGGAGGACGGAGGGGCTGCCCAGTACCTTGTCGTACACGGCGACCTGGAGGGAAAAGCCCAGGTGGTCGCGGAGGCCCTGCTGGCGGGCGATGTGCAGGCAGACTTCCTGCGAGGTCGAGGCCGAGTCCACTGTGACGGTCAGGCTCTGCCCCGTCGCCAGGACGACATGCACCGGGATGTGCTTCCTGGACTTGACCGCCTGGGGGAAGGCGAGGCAGACCCTCAGCTCCAGGGCCGCTCTGCTGCCTGCGGAGCTCCGGCGCCCTGGCCCGCGCTGCCACAACCCGCTCCCTTCTTGCCCCAGAGCTCTGGCCAGCAGAGGTGGCTGCGGCCTGATGGTTGATGGTCGCGGTGGGGCAAGAGCAGGCTGCCCAGTGCTGTCCGCGGGGTGCAGCCAGCAGGCGGCGCCCCCCACCCCTGAGCTCTGGGACCCGAGTGGCTGAGAATCAGAGGCTCAGAAGAGCCCGTGGCAGTTGCCCCGTCCTGGACTCTGGAACATTCCGACACCTGGGAACCACAGTTCCCTCTGCGTGAGCACAATAGGGAGTGAGCACCAGACAGCGGCCACAAGGGCACATGCAGCCCAGGGCTCGGGCCGAGCAGGTCGATAAGGAACTTGGGTGGCAGGACAAACGTGGGAAGGAGGGGGGCAGAGGGGACCCCAGTACAGGCGCCACCGGACACGGGGTGTGAGGGCTTCCAGGGACCCCGAGATGCCCTCACCCGCCCGGGTCTGCAGGACCCTCCTGAGAGTACGGGGCACTCATGGTGCGGCCCACACCCCCCAAGGACGACAGCGACTGCCGCCTCCGCTAGGAAAGCACCCAGAGCACCCACATCAGCGCCAACCAGCGGGGCCCAGGGACGTGCCTCGCCAGAGGCTCCCAGGGGCTGCGGCTCAGAAGCTCCCCAAGTGGGTGGAAGAGCCTGAGAATATGCTTCCTGCTGGCAGGACCAAAGAAGGCACCCCAAACCTGGGCTAGAAGAGCCGCAGGGGCTGACACCACCCTGACCATCTCCCACTCCAGCAGTCCCCTACCTGCAGCTCCAGCCAAGTGGGGGGCTCCGTGCGAACCCCGTTGGCGTAGGTGCGTCTCAGGCGCTCGGCACAGAAGGGCCCGTAGCCAGCTGGCCCTTCGCCGATGAAGTTCAGCAGATACTGCGGGCGAGGAAGGGACAGGGCCAGGTCACTGTCTACTTCCCGCCGAGATGGGTTCCAGCGACGCAGTCACTCCCGCCTGTGAGGCGAGGGTGTGGGCCTGGCCGTGCGACCACTGCGATGCCCGCCGACACGCAAGCACTCACTGTGCACCCTGGACTCCTGGGGTCACGCCAATGATATCCCAATAAAGCTGGGAAAATTGTAAATTTTAAAATGGTAATACTCAGCATTGACAAAGCGCGTTCTTATATAACATGAGAAGGAAGATAAATTGGACATTTCTTAGGATCAATTTGTCAATGTTTTAAATAGTACATAATTTTAAAATGAGCACACTCTTGGCCCAATGATTCAGACCTCTCCTAAAGGCATCTTAGAGAGAGGAAGGGCGAGAGAGAGGGAGGGAGAGAGAGTGAGAGAGAGAGAGACAGAGATCAGTTGCCTTCCGCACGTGCCCCGACGGGGGACGGAACCTGCAGCCCAGGCGCGTGCCCTGACCAGGAGTGGCACCGGCGACTCTCGTGCACAGGATGCGCTCGGCCAGCCGAGCCGCACTGGCCATGGTGCTCATGGTGACAAGCAATTGGAAGGTGGGCCCCGGTGTCCATCCACAAGCTGCACACGCTCCAGGCAGCCGCCGTGGGGGCCTGACAGCTGGCACTTAGGGAAAGCGGTAGTACGGAAAGGCACGTGCAGAGACGGTGAAACCCACAGGAGACTTGATGTTCAAAATACGTTTGGTAAAATGTGTTGAAAACCTTTTCAGAGGCATTGTGAGGCGATGCAGCTGGGAGTTCCCTGGTGTTGGGAGCCCCAGTGCCCGGGGCAGACGGTGGGCAGCACACCTCCTGCTGTCCCCAAGGGACCCGCATGACAGCGAGGCGGCTTCTGTGCGACGGCAGGCCGACACTGGCACACCACAAAGGCCAGGGACGGTCGTGGAAGGTGCCTCTGGGTCTGGGATGACTTAGATTCTCTGCCTTTCCTCCATATGACGTTCGTGAGACGAACCAAAGGCATAAGCCAGGGAGCCCAGCGCCTCGACCTGCTCCACCTGCTCCTCCTGGCCCCTCCTCTTTGCATCTACCCTCTCATCGTCTCCTCAGAGGAGCCGTCCTGGTGCTGTGACCGAGTGAACTGCAGACCCTAAGCAGGGGCTGGAAAGCCAGGTCTGGTGCCCTCTCTTACATAAGGGGAAACTGAGGCCGAGAAGCATGGGAACTGACCATCCTGGCCAGTAGAAGCAGAAGAACAGGGCCACAGCACAAGATTTCTGGAATGCTCCATGGCCCAGGGCCAACACATTCACTCAC